CTATCCGGGCTATAACATGCATCCAGGGCCCCCTTGGACACACTCAATTCTACGCACGTCCCTCTCTCTCGGTATTTCTAAGTTCAGTCGCAGGTTTAAGGAATCTCTGTCATTCACGTAGAGTTGTCATTAAAAACAGGCGTTAGGTCCTCCAGAAAGCCTTATACGCGACCCTCACTTGGTTGGCACTTCCTACGTTACACACGGCCCTCCGCGGGCAATCCACGACGAATCATTTCCGACCCCTCACTCGGGCCATTGCATACTACTGTCGCTTTGTTTGGCTCTCTGTCACCCATGAGCCTCTCTCTATTGGCACCTAGGAGTCCAGTCACAGACTCTCAACGAATCTCTGACATATATGCCTATAGAAAATCAGAGACGTTGTTCAACTAAATACCTCAGGTCCTTCAGACATACCTCTATACGCGGCCCTTTGATGCTTGCCTTGGCAGCGAAATAGAGGTTTCGCGTAACACAAGTTTGGGTCCCTCGGAAATGCCTCTTCACATGACTTTACTGGGCCTTCAGTTTCTATTTCAATATGCCACCACGGACTAACGCATGGGAGTATTCTCGAAGCCTGGATGTTGCTGCCTATACATCATCTCCGTGGCAGTCACTGAGTTCCAAAAGGAAGGTATGTACCATCTCGTCAGGCGTCGGACGTTTGGGGCCATGATTAGCCCTGAACATTAGACAAGTCCACTGAAACACTAGGCGAGCACTTCCAAAAGGGTTCTCACACATGAGTAACCGCTCCCACAAGACCTGCAATCCCTACTTGGCGCAATGCCACTGGGCCGCTTAATTTGTACTGCGACTACCTCACCTCCTACCAGAGGCTCCAAACGAATATGACACCGCCTCTATTTGCTCTCACGCAAACAGACCGTTGAGATGGTGTTGGATTCTTACGTATCGAAGAGATTTCTACGTTCATCACCCCACCGGACGTAGTAACACTGGTTATGGGTATCGATGCAGCAGGCCATCCCCCCACCGGACGTAGTAACACAGGTTACGGGTATCGATGCAGCAGGCCATTCACGGTCTTATACCAAGATTGGTGGTTCCGTGACCTATGGCGCCCCGACTCCCTGACACTTCTAGCCGCCTGCATCACTTGTCACATTATTCCGACATTTAACCCATAAATTGCAGCAGATCATGCCTGGTGTTCCTGACGGGAAGGCAAAACCATCACATGATCTCCAATAACAAGTCGCATGCGTAAATATAAATTGAGGGTGTTCTCCCTCACGGGCACTCATTAAACTCATTAGGGGAATCACCTAGTTGGCAGTTTCACATAATTCTGTTTGGTATACACACATGTACCCAGACAGGGTAATATCGCGGCCAACGCTTTATCTCATTCAAACTTTTAGAAATGCCTCGTAGCGGACATATAAACAAGATAGACCCAATCGGAGGTCCAGTTCTATCCGAACCATGAAGGTAGAGTCCAGCAGTATGGTGGATGCATTTATTGAATTTTTTTTGCCTCTTTCTCACAGAGAGACAAAGCCAAACACACCTAATCACAATATATACAACAAATCACTCGCTACGGCATATTCATTGACTACATAACGACCCGGCTACCACTATAGGTTAGGTCCCATTGACCGTCATAGGTCAACCCCCCTAAGATCGGTGTCGCATCTGTTGCTTTCATCAGGTAAGTACCGGCACTCCTTAATCAAGGAATTACGTAAATGGGAATCAGTTGCTTACAACAAGTAAATTCCATAACCTTAGAAAGAACTCGGTAAGCCTCCACAGAATGAGTCAGGCAATCGATATCAGCATTATAGCGTTAACGATTAAATGTTTTGCCCTCATTTATTTCAGGCCTACCCAATCGTCGGTTTAGGCACACCACAACCGACTCTCACACATAGCCAACGGTGTTATGTACGGCTTATTATCCCCGACTACAAATGTTAAGGCGGAGCCTATTAGTTGTGGGAGGGGTTTTACCGGCCTATTTATACTCAGACTTACCTCCACTCAGGGCCGACACCGATCCAGATTTCTCACCCACCACACCTATTAACAAACACTTCCTTGGTGGGCCCTCATTTATTTCAGGCCTACCCGATCGTCGGTTTAGGCACACCACAACCAACTCTCACACATAGCCAATGGTGTTATGTATGGCTTATTATCGCGGCGTGTGTGTTTCTACTTTAGGGTGCACACCCTTATACAATAGGCTGCGCACGCCTATGACTACTTAGAAGATGAAAATAGCTTATTAAAGTGGAACACTTCTGCACTTTTAATCAGACCCACATATATTTTGTTATTTTGTTTAATTCTTATGTTTCTTAGTCAATCACTTTCTACTTTTTGCAGGTTTATATTTGTTTTTGTTTGTCTGTATTTTCTATCCCATTCTACATGGTTATCATCGGGTTTGTCTCTGTGTAAAACATCCCACAAATGATTTTTGGAGCACTACACTTCTAGCATGAATGTCCACTGATGATAGCTTCTATTATTTAGCTTTGGTTTTGCAAATCTCATTTGATTGCCATGTATGTACATAGTGGGGAATCGCGATGCAGCTTAGAACAAATCTAGCCCCATTAAACCCCCCAATAACGACAAACAACTTAGTATGGATGAACAGGCCACAGCATTTATTATAACATAAATAAATTACTGCATAACACATCCATAACTTTTTATTAAATCTCTTCTTTCTGTAACGAAATAATCATAAATTAACATATAAACATATTACTCAACACAGTGTTATGCAGTGACCCAACCGTCCTTGCCAATAAACATACAGTGGTTCCTAACCACCACTTACTCTCACCTCCCCCCTCGTCATAAATCATCTCTTTCCAATGCCCGCCATCAGCCGACCTTATCCACGCTCGATGGGCACGACACCTCAGGCAACCTAATGTTAACCGTTTGAAGCAGGGGAGGTTGAGACCTGCAAACATAATGAACTTACTCCATCCTTAAACATAACCCTTCAAACTTAATTGGCAAGGACACTGATGTCCGCCGGGTACAGGAAACTGAGCTCTGCGGTGCGCTCGGCCACGCTACAAGGTGTGGGGGGGGAGAAAACTGAGGGAGGTATGGGGGGGAACTGAGGGAGGCATGGGGGGGAGAAAACTGAGGGAGGTATGGGGGAAACTGAGGGAGAGATGGGGGGGAACTGAGGGAGACATGGGGGGGACTGAAGGAGAGATGGGGGAGAAAACTGAGTGTAGGATGGGAGAAAAAAAATTAGGGAGGGATGGGGGGAAAGAAAGCAGGCCTTCTAAGCAGGCCTCTACTGCCTGTGATCTCACTGAACTGGCCAAGATGACGGATGGAGAGCCGACTGCTACCTCACTGAGTCCATCGGACACAATATATCACATAGAAATAACACACATATATTTGCACAATTGAAATACCATGGGGATCAATGGGAAACCGATGTCAAAAAAGCATATAACCTTTAATAACTTGCTATGGAATGTTTTTCAACTTAAGTGCCTTGTACATTAAAATACTTACCGTTATAATGGATGGATACCCCCTTTTTTCCCACTTCCAAGTTTTCCCTTCTTTTCCCCTACCCTAATATATTGTTTTGTTATTACTTGTAAAATCTGCAAAATCTTTCAATAAAAATTATTTAAAAAGAAACTGACTGAATTCTGACCGCATATACAATGCTCATGTTTACCAAAGCAAGCCAAATACTGTTGGCCCACGCAAATCTGGAGCAATTAGAAAAAAAAACCAAATAGAAATGGAGAATGGGTTGATTGGAGCTAATCCTTTATAAATCCTTTATAAAATGCAACAAAACCCACCAGTGTCCTTAACCACTAATAATAACCACTACCCAGTTTTCATACATTACATTACATCTCTTGATTAATAAATAAATACAAACATTAACAAATCCTAATACCTTTATTACCCATAATTCCCATAAAAAATGTTTAATATAATGAACTCTGGAGAGGAGCCTGGCTCCATGAACCCTGAATACTAGCTATAAGACTGCTAAAATACATTACTACTAATATAATCTTGGCTTCGGAAGCAGTCAGAGTACACACAAAACCTACTTTCCAGCTTCTTGTTGCACGTCAGGCAGCTAGAACCTGACGCCTACTTGCGACCTACCAGTGGGTGCAGACGTGGGAGAAACGGCCAATCTCCCTGCCGACCATCCTGCTGAATCAGGTGAACACGGTCAGGCACCCCGATCTCCCCCCTGCTGGTGGGAGTCATCCCGGCTCACACTCTCAATACCCAGAAACATTTCATATTGCTGGTGAAGCCAGACTTCTAAGCAGGCCTCTACTGCCTGTGATCTCACTGAACTGGCCAAGATGACGGATGGAGAGCTGACTGCTACCTCACTGAGTCCATCGGACACAATCCTGACGTGGCTCGATACCCACTTCAGAGAGTTATGGCTAAAGCTGAAATACAGACAAAAACATGCCGCCTTGGTGAGACAGTGTGACACCCTGCAGCCCTCAAATACTACTCAAAGACACAGACCAGCTATCACAGGTCGGAGGAAAGAAGGGAAGAAATCCCATTCAACTGTCACCTGTTTGCATCATGGGCTGTTACACACCTGCCATCACACTCCTGGGCTGAGAGCCCGGAGAGGAATAACCCTCAGTGGGTGCGACACCGCTATGTAGATGTGTCTGCCATATCCTGGGATGTCTCCCGTGGAAACAAAGGAGACCGGAGCAGTGGGAAAAGCTCAGGGGATCTTGTGAAGACACAGGGCTAGCAGAGTGAACGGTGCTGGATGACCGGGACTCAACCTCGCTATGTGCCACTGTAACGGATCGCCTGGCACCCCAACTGGGTACCTCCGTTGAAGGATGCTCCTAGCGCTTCCTGAGGACTCCAAGCACTGCAGCAGACACCACAATCACCAAACCAGAGAAGCGTGTACCTTCTCTCAAGCATATGAATCCTGTAGACAGTTGAATAGGAACCATACGAATAGGTTTACACTCCTAGCAGTCAAACTGGAACAGCATACAATAAATCCTCCCCCAATAATGAGACGACACTTCACTTTGAGGGTTAAAACAGGAACTCTCTGTACTGTCACATACAGTCTCTTTTATTCCCAATCCACAAACATAGTACAGCCCACAGGCGTTACAAAACAACCAATCAATCCGTACAATACACCCAGACACTCCCACACAAAATCCTCCCCTCTGCATGTGATATGATTACTGAACACAATGGGTAATCTCATTATCACCGGCAGAGGAATACAGTTTTTACACAATATTTATAACTTCTAAAATATACATGTCACAAACATAAAACATACATTTTCATAATCAATCCATTCAGGGGAACAACATATTAAAAAATGGCACGAATCAGACCAGGGGTTCAAAAGTTAAGGGAAAGTCCTTTGTGACTAAATGAAGCATGGCTTTCTGGCCCAAACCAGTTTCAGAGTCTTCTATCCTGGAGAGTAATTCAATTATCTCCCAGGACAGACACAAGACTCCATTAAGCACATGGTTGCAAAAAGACACAAAACACTTTAAAATACATAAAGTAACCTTTTCACATAACACACAGACATTTCACATATCCCCAGATAGCTGGGATCTGAGCGCACAAAACTACTGAAGAGCGCTCAGATCCTATTCACACAGTTCAATTGCTATGGAGCCGAAGTCTTTAACTACACAAATGGGCTCCATGGCATAGCTATCTGGGTTAACACATTCTCATAAAGTCTGGTCCATAGTCCAAAGGCAAGAGACGGGCAAGCAGCCCCCTCCAAGGACACGTGGCGAGGCCGGTTTCGCCACATTTCTCCCCTTTACCATCCAGACTAACAGATAATCTGACCTCCTGCCGGTCAGTGCCCTGGTTAGTCCAGCAACCCACCCACGAAGCACAAACAGCAATACAGCCCACCCACAATAACTGGTTACTACACCTGGATAAAATAGCAACTTGTCCATGTCCAGGTGCCTCACCACGGCTGTGCGGGGGGCTGGTAGACTGCCTTGGTGGGTTGCTGAGTGGGCAGAGACCAGCGGTACTCTGCCCGGGTGCCAGCGCTACCACTGAAGTAGCCTGGTTGGAGCCTGGTTGTGGGAGGGGGAGACCGACTGTCTCCCCTCTGGATACACTGCTCTGTGGCTGGGGGACAGGACCGACCATCCCTACCCCTGGTGCTGCAAGTGCAGAGACTACGGTCCCATCTGCATAGTTGTGGGGCTTAACATCTCCCCTTGGTGGGTTAGGCTGCCGCTGGAGAGAGGGTGTAACAAGCTCCTCTCTCTGAACTGTAGACTGCCGCTGGGGAGAGGGGGTAACCTGCTCCTCTCCCTGACACTCTCTTTGCTGGTGGAGAGGGGGACCAACTGTCTCCCCTTTCAATATTTTGTCCTGCGGCTGGGGTGCGAGACAGACGGTCTCTGCTTCCTGGGGTACACACTGCCGCTGGGGAGGAAGGACGGCACCTTCAGCTCCCTGGGGTACACACTGCCGCTGGGGAGGAAGGACTGCACCTTCAGCTCCCTGGGATACATACTGCCGCTGGAGATCTGGGCCGACCGCCCAGCATCCCTGTAGGGCCGGTAGAGAGACCGCCGTCCCATCTCCACCTGCCATCTGTGGGTTTTCCCAGGACCAGTCTGTGAGGTCCCTCAACATTTGCGAGTAAGGACCACCTGCTTCCGCACCTGGCAACTCCGGCTGCTGCTGGGGATCTGGGCCGGTCCCATCTCCACCTGCCTGTTGTGCTTCCTCACAGGACCAGTCTATGAGGACCCCTACTTCGGGTTCCTGCGGCCGCCTCAGGGGGAGACGGCTAACCTCCTCGGATGCAGCCTCTACTCGGCTGCTGTAACACTCCTTCCGCTGAGCATACTCTCTCTCTTTCGCCAGCCGGAATTCTCGGGCCAGCCTTGTGTTTCGCTCGGCCGTGACCTGGTTCCAGATCACCCGGCGTACCTCCATGGGTAAATCATCCCCATACTGGGCCGCTCGCTGCCTCACCTCGGCCATCCAATCATCGCCAGAGCCTTCCATACTTGTCTGCTCCAAGTCGCTGGATACCTCTGCTCCCAGGGGCGCTGCACGTGTGCTAGCGTTGCCCTCAATTTGTAACTCCACGAACTGTGTCTCTGAGCTGCTTTACCTCGCACTAGGACGCCATCCCACTGCTGCCACCAATGTAACGGATCGCCTGGCACCCCAACTGGGTACCTCCGTTGAAGGATGCTCCTAGCGCTTCCTGAGGACTCCAAGCACTGCAGCAGACACCACAATCACTGAACCAGAGAAGCGTATACCTTCTCTCAAGCATATGAATGCTGTAGACAGTTGAATAGGAACCATACGAATAGGTTTACTCTCCTAGCAGTCAAACTGGAACAGCATACAATAAATCCTTCCCCCAATAATGAGGCGACACTTCACTTTGAGGGTTAAGCAGGAACTCCCTGTACTGTCACATACAGTCTCTTTTATTCCCAATCCACAAACATAGTACAGCCCACAGGGCGTTACAAATCAACCAATCAATCCGTACAATACACCCAGACACTCCCACACAAAATCCTCCCCTCTGCATGTGATATGATTACTGAACACAATGGGTAATCTCATTATCACCGGCAGAGGAATACAGTTTTTACACAATATTTATAACTTCTAAAATATACATGTCACAAACATAAAAAATACATTTTCATAATCAATCCATTCAGGGCAACAACATATTAAAAAATGGCACGAATCAGACCAGAGGTTCAAAAGTTAAGGGAAAGTCCTTTGTGACTAAATGAAGCATGGCTTTCTGGCCCAAACCAGTTTCAGAGTCTTCTATCCTGGAGATAAGTAATTCAATTATCTCCCAGGACAGACACAAGACTCCATTAAGCACATGGTTGCAAAAAGACACAAAACACTTTAAAATACATAAAGTAACCTTTCACATAACACACAGACATTTCACATATCCCCAGATAGCTGGGATCTGAGCGCACAAAACTACTGAAGAGCGCTCAGATCCTATTCACACAGTTCAATTGCTATGGAGCCGAAGTCTTTAACTACACAAATGGGCTCCATGGCATAGCTATCTGGGTTAACACATTCTCATAAAGTCTGGTCCATAGTCCAAAGGCAAGAGGCGGGCAAGCAGCCCCCTCCAAGGACACGTGGCGAGGCCGGTTTCGCCACAGCCACTACCAATGAGAATGGGTATTGGGTTAAGGCAGGACAACGGATTTACACGGTTTCTCCATATCATTATCTACTTATTTTTTTTTATTTTATTTTAAATTCTTTATTTTTCACTTCAACATATTTTATGCATATGGTAATTATTGACAAGGGGCTTGCACATCACATAGTAAGTTTGCAGTCCAAATACATTGTTTAAGCTATAGTGTGTTTCTGGTAAGGCTTAGATTGGTGGGTTGTGTCCCAAAATTTGGTTACATCAACGTTCTGTCAAAGCTTTCATTTGTAAAACATAAAACGTAGGAAATAACAAGGTAGAGAGTGTATAATAAGTATATATCTCGACAGTTGTCATTTTTCCAAGTGGTAAGAGGGTGCTCTAGCTTTTGTGTGAGGAGCCTGTGTGTACTATGCTTGGTGTGTGCTGTAGAGCTGTAGAGTCTTTGCTAGTGTTTGTTCTGGTAAGTTTTGTGTAGAGGCTTTTTCCTTTAACAGAAAGGTGTGTCACTGGGTTAAATATATGCATTCGACCTACAGTTTGGTATTATGTTACCGTCCGATCACAGTTAACTGGGTTAACTCGCATTGTTTTGATCATTATGGTCCTTTTGTCTGGGTGTTCCTGGGGTCATGTAGGGCCCTTCTCTGTAGACGTTTCCTTCAGGTTTTGATTTGTTTTGCATCTCTTAATCTTTAATGGAAGGGTGACATGACTGTGAGCTTGGAAAGGGGTGAGAAGTAAACTGGGGGAGATGAGAACTTATTTACAGGGGGTGATATATTATGGTGGGGGAATTGGTTGTTGCATGTCTAGGGTGTACCTGTTGGCCAGGGTTGGAGTCGGTTGGTTGTTGTTGGTTTCTGGTACGGGGCTAAAGGTTTTTTTGTGGAGGCAGGCCAGGTTCTGGTATGCAGGTCTGTTGGCAGGTTGGGTGGGGATTCCTTCCCATTTTCCTAGTGTGGTGGCCCCTAGTCCGGGCTCCTTTGTGGGTCGTGGCCATGACCCGGACTGAGGCTTGTGAGTTTTGTTGTTGGGTGGGTGTCCCCTGTGTTGTCATTTTCACCAGAGGGTGTGAGGTCTGCCTGGAGGGTGGTGCATTCATGTGGTTTTTCGTTGTTGGTTTCCTCCCATTTCAGTTAGGCTTAACTGTGGTTATTAGGGCAGGTGGGTGGAAGATGGGGGGGTAAAAGAGAGGGGGTGTGGCCAGTGCGGGGGTTAAAGGGTGGAGAGCGGTTAGTCCCGACTCCCCCCCACACCACCCAGTATGGCGCTGGTCATTGTTGTGTCAATAGTGTGAATGTAAGGTATGGACTGCTTTATTGTAGGTGGGGCTCGTTTAGCCATGGGTCCCAAATTTTATGGAATAGTTTGGAGGTATCATGTAGTTTGGATGAGAACCTCTCCATGTCTAGTGGTCTCTAGTTTTGCATATTATTGTCTGTAGTGTAGGAACGTTAGGTGTTCCCCAGAGTTCTGCTGTTGCACGTCTCGTCGCCAGGGCTCTTCTGTGTGTCAGTTTGTTTTGGGCTCTGGTTTGCGTGTATCAGGGCCTAGAGAGGAGCCATGTCCATGGGTCTAGTGGGATGGTGGTTTGCAGGAGATCTGAGACTAATGAGGCTACTTCTGTCCACAGTGGGGTCAGTTTGGGGCATTGCCACCAGAGGTGTATGTATGTGCCCCTGTGTCCACACTGCTTGCAGCAGAGGTCCGAGTCTGACCTTCCCATTCGGTATATGTGTACTGGTGTTAGGTACCATCTGAGCATCGTCTTATAGGCTTGCTCCTTGTGGTTGACACAAATGGATATGGAGGCTGTTGCCTCCCATATTTCTTGCCAGTCAATAGGTTTGTCTAGGGTCACAGGTCCCTATTCCAAGCCGACACGTGGCCAGTGCCCATGAAGGCTGATTTGTGATTAGGAGTATATAGTTATCAGAGATCTGCCCCTTGCAGAGTGGGCTCTGTGTGCAGGCTCGCTCGAACTGTGAGAGTTTGGTGGTGGCCGCATTCCTGTTTTCTGCCTGTTCTAAGAAGCTACGTAGTT